AGCAGGACTGGGGCTCAGGTTGACAAGAGCCAGGGACCCCATCATGTGTCCTATGAGTCTTCCATCAGCTCAAGGATCATTTCCTCCACGCCATTCTCCTTGACATGGTGCACGATACGCCAGAACCGGCGCAGGTAGTCCATGTACTTGTTGCCAGGGTGGAGCGTCCACAGCCAAGGCATGGTGGTCAAGGTCAGCAGACTGGTGGTGTGTGAGATATGCCCACTGGGGATGTCTTCCTGGCGCAACCGTACTTTCCGGTCACCTTCTGTGTCCATGTCGACATGCAGCCACGTGCGATCATTCTCGTCCTCATACACCGAGTGCCCACGGATAGTCAGGCAGATGGGGTGCGAGCTGAGGTGCACCTTCGACGGGAGCTTGGCCATGACCCCTCCGTGGTCCAAGGAGCAACAGCCACAGCTTCTCAGAGCCTCTCAACACTTCGGTCCTGGTATCGAAAGACAGGGGATGGGGTCTCCAAAAGCATTTGACCTCGGCTTTCATCTTTATGGTTTTTACGGTTGTGTTTGTGGTTGCCTTTGGTTTATTTTGCAAATTTGTAAATCTCAACTTATCTTTCTTTTTTATCTTTAGATCTCTCTTCTAAAACAAACTGTACAAAACATACTTGAATTGTAATGTGACTCTGTGAAAGTAACATGGTCCTATAGAATTTTTAAAATATTTTTCAAATGACAGTTGACATACAACCTTAGGTTAATTTCAGGGGTACACCCCAATGATTAGATATTATATAATGGACTAAGAAATCATGCAATTAATCTCATACCCTTCTGACACCATACACAGTTATGATAATATTACTAGTGGCTCAGTGCACAGAATTCATGCACTTGTGGGCATCCTTCAGTCAGCCCTGTGGCCTCTCACAATCTGGGACCCCTTGATGGATGTCCAACTGACAGCTTAGGCTCGCTTTAGTGCTGCCCTGAAGGCTCCCACCACCCCCTTGTACTCGGCAGATGTGAGCCTGGCTTTTGGCTGAGCGGATCTCCCCTTGTGGGAGTGCACTGACCACCTGTGGACAGCTCCTGCCATGAGTATCTTCCCCCGGTGGTCAGTGTGTGTCATAGCGACCAGTCATTCTGCCGTTTGGTCGATTTTCATATTAGACTTTTATTATATAGGATTGACTCAATGCTCTACTTTACTGTGCTATGACTTTTCTTTCTTTTTTTTCATATACTTTTAATGATTTTAGAGAGGAAGGGAGAGGGAGAGAAAGAGAAAGATCAATGAGGACAGAGAATCACAGATTGGTTGCCTCCTGCACGCACCCTCCTGGGGATCAAAACTGTAACCCGGGCATATGCCATGACTGGGTATCGAATCCACATCTCCTTATTCCTAGGTTTAAGCTGAACAACTGAACCATGCCAGCTGGGCTCTTTTCCTTTCTTTTCTTTTCTTTTTTCTTTTCTTTTCTTTTCTTTTCTTTTCTTTTCTTTTCTTTTCTTTTCTTTTCTTTCCTTTCCTTTCCTTTTCTTTTCTATTCTTTTCTTTTCTTTACTTTTCCTTTTTTCTTAATTAAAACTTTGTAGTTGGTTCAAATTTTCTTTTTCTCGTTACACCACCTCCTTTTTTCTGATCAACTCAGAGGGATCTCATAAAACATAGAACAAGCCACCTCAGGCAAATAATATGCAAATAATATGCTTTACCTTTAACAGGTGGCAGAGAAACAAAGCTAAAGTCAGCGTCCAGGTGGGCTTCTTAACAGCAGTCTTGCTTCTCAGGTGCTGGAGAGAGAGGCAAGACAAAAATATTCAGGGACAGACAGATACTAGGATAGGTGATCAGGCAAACAGGAAGCAAAGAGACAGGTGAAACAGCAAGTAGGATTCCTGAGGTCTCATAACATCACTTATAGAATGATCGCTCCCTTCTTCAAACCTCAGCCATGCTCTTGGCAAGAGCTCTATAGTTTTGCTGCTAAACTCACTTTAGTCCACAAAGTCCAAATTCCTCACTCAGATCAGACTCCATCCCCAATCCTTCCTCCTCCTCCTACCATCCGTCTTTTTCTTACCTTTCTTCTTGCTCTGAATGTAAAGCACCATTCTTCACTCCTTTTCTCTGTGACCAGTCTCTACTTCCCCCTGTCACCTGCAGAAGAAAGAACATGGCCATGATACACATATTCCCAGGAGTCCATGTACCAGGAATGTGTCCAGAAAAAACAAGGTACCACTGACTCATACCCCAGAAACCAGTTCCGTGAGACAGGTGGTGGTGAGGTAGGAAAGACGTTTATTCAGGTGCCGGCAACCTGAGAAAAAGGGGGAAGCTCGTCCCAAAACCCATCTGCACATCTCAGTGCAGGCAGAGGATTTTATAAGGAGGGAGAGGCCAAACAGAGCAAAGAGGTCAGGGGGCGGGGCTTGAGAAGGTCTCTACATGCCGACAGGCACAGTCCAATCTGATAAGGATCTTGCAAGTGGTCAGGTGACGTCCAGTGTTCACATCTTGTAAAATTATTTGCTAGGATTCTTATAGAAACATGCTGTTTACCTACAAACTTCACTATTAGTCAGAGTCTGCATTTACAGGAGCAATTAGGAAAGAATGGTGAGGTGAGTTGTAATTCCCACTGTGACATGAAAGCTAAGATGCTTCGTTCTTCTTCAAATCATTTGCACCCTTTAAAAAAGTCAAATTGGCCCTGGCGGGTTTGGCTCAGTGGTTAGAGTGTTGGCCTGCAAACTGAAGGGTCCCGGGTTCGATTCCCAGTCATGGGCACATGCCCAGGTTGTGGGCTTGATCCCCAGTGAGGGACCCTAAGGTGGCAGCCGATCCATAATTCTCTCATCATGGATGTTTCTAAGTCTCTCCCTCTCCATTCCTCTCTGAAAAAAAAATAAAAAAATAGAAACAACTCCCAACTCAATGACCTGGACTGAGGCAAACCCTTCCCCAGTTAGGAAGGAAAGATGAATGGGTACCTAAGGAATTGGCAGGCATCTGCCTGTTGGCATTTAGGAGAAGCAAAAGCAAAAGAAAAAAAAGATAAAAGGGAAGAAAAAAGACATAATTCAAATTTCACCCTCATACTGCCCTCGAAGGAATGGAGCCCAAAGGGGTCACGAGACAGAGTGTCTGCAGTGCAACACGTGACACACCTTGAGGCGTGGGCTCTTTTATAAAAATATGTATATATCCTTTATTGATTTTAGAAAGGAAGGCAGAGAGGGATAGAAACATCAGTGATGATGAGAGAGAATCACGGACCGGCTGCCTCCTGCACGGCCCCCACTGTGGAAGGAGCCTGCAAACCGGGCCTGTGGCCTTGACTGGAATCCAACCTGGGACCCTACTGTCCACATGCCGATGTTCTATCCACTGAGCTATACCAGCACGGGCGCTAGGTTGACTTTAAATGACTACCCACATAATATGTTAAACCAAAAAATAATATACCATTTTAAAACAATGTGCATGCCATCTGAATGCAACAATTGCTAATATTTTTTAAATGATTTTATTGACTCAGAGAGGAACGGAAAACGAGAGGGAGAGAAACATCCATGATGAGAGAGAATCATGGCTTTAGCGTCTAGCTCTGTTCGAATTTGGGTTTTTAATTGTGTTTAGCACTAAACAGCCCCAAACAAAGCGCAGCGATAATAAAATTCATCTACCATCGCACCAGCAAGAGGAGGCTGGAGGGGGACCCGGGGGGAGCCCCAGAAATCAATTTCAGGACATCCATGGTTGCATTAAAGAGAATCACAGATCCGCCGCCTCCCACACGCCCCCTACTGACGATCGAGCCTGAAACCTGGGCCTGTAGTAAAAATATATTAAACAGAGAAAGATAAAGAAAAAGACCTTAAGCCTGAAAATATTAGCCCAGCCCCGGTACACAAGGCTCAAAGACATCCCTGTAAATAGTTTTCATTTCAATGACCAGCGTTCTCATTGCTTGATCTCCTGAGGTTCGTCAACCGATACTACCCTCTCCAAAAAAAGAACGAATGTTTGGGGGAATTCGTGCACCAGTGTGGTGCCTCTGCCTCGCCTGCGGGGATCGTCCGAAACTGGCTCTCTGACATCCCACGAGGGGTCCCAGATTACGAGAGGGCACAGTCCAGTCCATGGCACCCCACCGGTGCCCCAATAGGTCTGGTGAGGAACACGGGAGGTTGGGCAGCTGTGGAGGGACCATGGGAGGGCTCCAGGGTGTGTCCAGCACGTCTCACTCAATCCCGATCAGCCAGACCCCAGCAGCAAGCTGACCTACCAGTCTGAATGTCTTGTCCCTGGTGGTCAATGGATGTCATAGAGAGCAGTAGATCAATCTTAGTATATCATTTGCATATTATGCTTTGATTGGTTGGACAGATGACCAGTCCAATGGACACTTAACATATTAGGCTTTTATTATATATGATTGATTTCATACAGGAAGGGAGTGAGAAACATCAATGATAATAGAGAATCATACATCGGGTGCCTCCTGCATGCCCCTAATTGGGATCGAGCCCACAACCAGAGCATGTGCCCTTGACCACAATCGAACCTGGGACCTTCCAGAGTCCACAGTCCAATCCTCTATCCACTGAGCCAAACTAGCTAGGGCTCATTGGTTAACTCTTGACTGTGCCCATAACATGAATCGAACCGTGACCTCTGGGTTCATATGTCGTCCCTCAATCACTGAGAAACACCAGCTTGGATCAAAATGCTTTTATTGATTTGAGAGAGAGGGAGAGAGACAGAGCTAGAGAGAGAGACAAAGAGACAGAGAGAGAGAAAGGAGAAGAAGAACAAGAACAAGACCAACAAGAAGAATAAGAACAAGAAGAAAAAGAGAGAGAGAGAGAGAGAGAGAGACATCAATGTGCCCTCACACCCAGGGGGTGGCAGGTACAACAATAGAGCTTATTAAAAAGGTGAACAGAACTATACACGTCCCACCAGCAGTCCAGTAGGACTGGGGCTCAGGTTGACAAGAACCAGGGACCCCATCACATGTCCTAGGAGTCTTCCATCAGCTCAAGGATCATTTCCTCTACGCCATTCTCCTTGACGTGGTGCACGATGCGCCAGAACCGGCCCATGGTGTCCAGGTACTGGCTGCCAAGGTGGAGCGTCCACCATGAAAGCATGGTGCTCGAGGTCAGCGGGCTGGTGGTGAGTGCGATACGCCCACTGGGGTAGTCGACCAGGCACAACCGAACTTGCAGGTCACCTCCTGTGTCCATGACGAGATGCAGCCATGTGCGCTGGTTCTCATCCTCATACACCGAGGGCCCACGGATCCTCAGGTAGATCGGGGGCGAGGTGAGGTGCACGGTCGATGGGAGCTCGGCCATGACCCCTCCATGGTCCAAGGAGCAACAGCCACAGCTTCTCAGAGCCTCTCGCTATTTCGTTCCTGGTATCGAAAGACCTCGGCTTTTATTTTTATGGTTTTTACGGTTGTGTTTGTGGTTGCCTTTGGTTTATTTTGCAAATTTATAAATCTCAACTCTTCTTTCTTTTCAGTTTTAGAGCTCTCTTCTCAAACAAACTGTCCAAAAAGTACGTAAGGTAAAATATGACTCTATGAATGTAACATGGTCCTATGGAATTTTAAAAACATTTTTTAAATGACAGTTAACATAGAACCTTAAGTTCATTTCAGGGGTACACCCCAATGATTAGACATTATATAATGGACTAAGAAATCATGCAATTAATCTCATACCCATCTGACACCATACACAGTTATAATATTACTAGAGGCTCAGTGCACAAAAACATCATGGATATTTGCTATCTCTCTCTACCTCTCCCTTCCTCTCTGAAATCAAAAAAAAATATGTAAATATATTTGTTTTTTTAAAAAGATTACATCAGGGGAAGTAGGAATGCTAGGCCTGGGGAAGGAGGCATGGTGTAATAGCTACAGGCTACAGCCATTGCAGGCTGAGCTCAAAAAGGCTGGGTGGCCCTGGGGCCAGATTTCGACAGAGACAAGGTTGTGACCATTTCCATGACGACAGGCAGTTCTTGGAAAAAGAGGAGGGACTGCATTCCAAGGCCGACTCCCACAG